TACATTTGTTGCAATTATACCTAATGAAAATGATAATAAAAATTGGCAATTAATTTCAACTGAAGTTCCTAAACTTACACTAGATGGTAAATTATTTTTATATTATATTTATCATAATACATTTATCATATATAGAATATTTAAAATCTGATTAAATACCTAATTTAGTTGCTTTTTAATTATTAGATAAAGGATATCTTAATTCACATGTTAACATTACTTACCCACCAATAAATGGAGTAATAGAAATAACAAGTGAAGAAATCAACATAACATATTATTTATCAATTGTTCCATCTATTAATAATATCACAATTTATCAAACAAATGATAGTCATAATATTTTGAGACAATCATTTTCAGTTAGTTCCTCATATTGTAAAATAAGTGATGATAAAAAAAGCCTTAGTATTCAAATATTAACAAGTACATTTAATCTTGCTAGTACAAGCTATTATGTTACAATTGATGATGATGCATTAAAACTATCTTCCACCAACCATTCATTGACAGGTATTCGTAAAAATATATGGAAATTTACCACAGGTAAAAATGTTAATAGTTGTAAAATATTTTTCAATTATCAAAACATTGTTATTATTGAATAATTAATAAATTAATTATCTTTAAAGATAATGTAGCTTTTCAATATTCAGGTAAAAAAATCAGATTAAATTAGCACATCTTTATTTTTTTTTTAATAATTAAATCAATTTTATTAAAATTCTAGATTCAGCAAATGGCATTATGAGACTCAATGTAAAGGGGACAAATTTATTTAATCTGGATTCAACAAATAAAACTGAATTTAATGAAAATTTGGAAAAAGGATTAGCTAATATAATACCAATCAATCCAATTCATTTGAAATTGATTCAAACTCAGATGGATTATTCAATAACCACCAACTTTGTTATTATTATTTAAAATTAATAATAGTGGAGATTCACAGGAAATTAATGTTGCTAAAATCATAGATAACTTAAATATATTGATTAGAAATAAACTCATCACTGGGATATCAAGGAATAATTATACAAATTTAATTGATGAGACTTATGGTTTTACATACAAGAAGTAATAAATAATATAAATATAGAATATAATTCTGTATATGTGATTTAATACTAATTAAATATATGTGTGTACTTGATAGGAAATATATTTGAACTTTTGAAAGATCATAAAATTCATTTAATAATTGTTTTAATAGTGATTTCTATTATTATAATATTGATGTGGTATTCACATAAAAAACATCCCAAGGTAATAATAATGTATTAATAATATTTAATAATTTTTAGGGTAATAATATTGTTATTTTGAAATTTTTTTTGATTTTTACTGACTTTATATTGGACATTTTATTTATAATCAATAATGGTAAAAATATTCCACAATTATTTATACCAAGGTATTTATTAATAATATTATTAACTGAATAATTGAATAATTCATAAATTAATTGATTTTTAAACTTTATTTTTTTTTTTAGTATAGTTGGCTCAGTCTAAAGACCTCCTAAATTTTGGGCAAATTTTAAAAGTATAGAAGTCATTTTCTGTCCT